AAAACAAAAAAAAAAAAAAAAAAATGAGATTGATGTGGTTAGTTTAGAAATCTGTGAATGCTTTCGTATCTGAGAGTTTTGATCATCTTCATAATGTTACTCAGTTTCAGGTAGTTATGATCTAAATCTAACATATTACAAGCAAAAGAAGATGATGATGTTTAGTTTGTTCGAAAAAATTTGTTAAAGGGTGTTCAAAAAAACCCGATAATCTGAAAAATCAGATCAAGTCAACTTATTCGTTTGAATTGGGTTGAACTCGAACTTTATGAACGGTGGGGTTCATGGTTGAACTTGAACCAATCCGACTTAAATTTATTGTTAATTTTAAAATATATATTTCTGCTTATGATGCAATTATCTATACACAGTTTTATTTTATTTTATTATTTCATAATTATTTTATTGATTATTTATTCTCTCGAAACTCATAAAAATATTAAAGTATTTGGAAGGTAGCTTTTTAAAATATATATTGAAAGTGAGTTTCGGGCTTGAGTCTAAAAAGTGTTCAGCCTGACCTCACTCAACCCACGAACACTCCACTCCTAAGTTTCATGCAGTCTCGTTAAATTGTTTATTATTATTATTATTATTATTATTTTATTAATTTCAATGTATTCAAGTTTGTTGATATGCAAAAGTCATTTAACAACAGCTTTCAAAATTGAGAAGAACTCTTCAACACCAATCCCATCTTTATCACCTTCCCTTCAAATTTATTTGGTTGTTTGTTTTAATTTAAATATCAACTCATCATTACGCATAATTGAAATATTATTCTTTTTTTGGTAATAATATAATTATATCTTAACCACCGACACTAATTCGTATCCATTCTAATTGGTAAAATTCGTAGAGAAACAAACAACGAAGAGTTTTATGACGAGAACGTGGAGATGTTAGAGTTTAGAGTGCGTAAGATCCATATCCATAGATGTTTAGGGCCACTGGGAGAGTATTGCGAGGTGGTATAGAGCTATGTTCGGATTCGAACTCAATCCCCTTTGATTCACACTTGAAACATACGTACATATCTTTGATGCTATAATTTTGAAACATATAGCTCGACGATAACGCACTCATGTGATATGATCCAAGGCCCAAGAGTAACTTAAGTCATACACCAAGTAGACTCATATGGCCATGAGACCCACACAACCTCACTTTTGGATTTTGTTGTATTTCTTTTGTACTCGAATTCTTGTAATTTAGACCCATACACGTCGCACCCGAACGATACAAACTAAAAAACGTGAATTAGGGTTTCACGACTAGAATTTTGTTGTTGTAATTTCATTGGACTCGAAGGAAACCAAGAGGCAAATGATAGAAGACACCAACATGGGCACACATTTTTACTGACTTTTAATTTAGTTATGATTTGATTTATTTTTTAGGCTACGATTCAGCATAATCTACGAACAGTCGTGTATTATTTATTTGTGGTTGGTTGGGTTATTCAATTTATTCTTAATGCATGTAATTGCTAGATCATTAATTGTATGACAATATATATTAAATTTGAAATAATTGAATTGTAGTTTGAATGTTCGAGCCATAGATTTGCATTTGTAGGATAGACATGTTATGAATTATTGTGTAGCAATTTATGGATTCTCTAGCCTTCACGTTGGTTGATAGCTTGTAAATTTGACGTCTACTTTCTCCAATTAAGTTTAACTCTCTGTTATAATTCTTTAAACATCTGTATTTTCTTATCTACACATAAGTTTCGATCCATTCATATCCAATAAGTTTAACCTCATCAATAATATCTACAAATCTACCGATTTTATAATTTCGACTTGTTTAACCCGACCTTTGAGTAAGTTCTTATAAATATTGAATCATCTCATAACTCTCTCATTACGACGAGACTTATCCAATTCATGATCAAAACCCATTTGATATTTTCATCGTATTCACTAACAACAAAAATCAAACACGAGGGTTCGGTGCAACCGTTCGTCTCGAGCCATAAAACTAATGGGCATGATTTTTATATGGGAAAAGAACCCTAAACTTAAAATTTTTAGATTGCATTTTTTGAATGTAACCCAAATTATGGTAGGGTTGTTGAGAATGTTTATATATTACAAGTTGGACAACTAAGATTGTCTGTTTTAGTTTGTCTATTTTTGTTTGTACTTTGTTGCTGTCTCTTCATACTTCTGTTCCGTAAACATGTTGGGACTCAATTATGCAAAATTAACCCTTTTCTTTTTGGCTATTAAAAATGACCGACGACCGTATTAGCTATTGTTACTGTAATAGCTCAAGCTCACCATTAGTCGATATTGTCCTCTTTGTTCTTTCATTTCCGAGTTTCCCCTCAACGTTTTTAAAACGCGTCTGTTAGAAGTAGATTTCTTCACGTTTATAAAGAATGTTTCGTTTTCATTTTTCAACCAATGTGAGATCTCACAATCCACCTCTTTTCATGTCACAGTGTCCTTGCTTGAGAATCTTTTCATGGACAAATGCTTGAGAATGTTTAATAGCTCAAGCTCACCATTAGCTGATATTATCCTCTTTGTTATTTCATTTCCGAGTTTCCCCTCAAGGTTTTTAAAACGCGTCTATTAGAAGTAGATTTCTTCACCTTTATAAAGAATGTTTTGTTCTCATTTTTCAATCAATGTGAGATCTCACAATCCACCTCTTTTCATGTCACAGTGTCCTTGCTTGAGAATCTTTTCATGGACAAATGCTTGAGAATGTTTAATAGCTCAAGCTCATCATTAGCTGATATTATCCTCTTTGTTCTTTCATTTCCGAGTTTCCCCTCAACGTTTTTAAAACGCGTCTGTTAGAAGTAGATTTTTTCACGTTTATAAAGAATGTTTCGTTTTCATTTTTCAACCAATGTGAGATCTCACAATCCACCTCTTTTCATGGCACAGTGTCCTTGCTTGCACTTGTTCCTCTTCTCACAATCCACCTCTTTTCATGGCACAGTGTTCTTGCTTGCACTCGTTCCTCTTTTCAATCGATGTGGGATCTCACAGTCAAAGTATTTTAAGTCTAAAGGGTTTCTAGATTAAGATTTTTTTTAAATAAGGAACCCAAATTAGATATTTTTAGAAAATAGGTATATTTGTCCATGATTTGATGCTTATATTTATGACTTTAATTATTATTATTATTATTTATTATTATAAATTATAGGTAGGTGGTCTTTATCTCGTCAATGCTTCTGTGGTCCCAATTTAAGTGGCTGTTGTCCAACAGAACCATAAGTTCCCAAACATTGTACGATCAAGATTCTTTTAAATATTTTTTTTTATATTATTTATTTTGGTTCATTTTGGTGGTTGTATTCTTAAACTATCAAATTTTGTTGACATAATTTAATTTAATTTTTATTTTTTTCATTTTTTAATCGAGATTTTAACGCTGAATCTCTTAAAATATAGCCATAAATTTGTATTAAGAGATTTCGTATGCATAAAGTTTTTGATAAAGATTTGTAAATACTGATAAAAAAAAGTGATATTTTGTAAAATATTAGTGACTAAAATGAATATTTTAAAAAGATACTGCTGAGGATTATTGAGAATGAGTCTCACGTTAGTTAATTTAGTGGAAGATCATGAGTTTATGAGGCCTTTTGAGAGCTCAAAGCAAAGCCACGAACGCTTATGCTCAAAGTGGACAATATCATACCACGTGGAAAAGTGAAGAATAAGTAAGTATAAGAAATGATGTTATAATTGGGAGCAAACTTTTCAAGAAAGTAATGATTTTAAATTGGAAAACGACAGTCATCTTCTCAATGAATAATTCAGTATAAACAAGAATGCATCAATTTTACTTCAGAGCTTTCTGGTTAATTCAATGGTACGCTCTGTTTTTTAACCTACAAAAAAGATCTATTTCTCTAGAGCGTTAATTAACGAGACATTCAAAGAAATTATGCTCCTTTCAAAAGAGTGTTAGTCAATCGACGTTGTTGGAGCGTCGATCAAGTAGAGGTCCATTTGAAATAACTTTCAAATGCTGGGTAAATATAAATTTCTTGAAAGGTCGTTTTGAACTGTTGTTATATATGATATTGTGAGATGTTACATCGGTTGAAGAGGAAAATGAAATATATATATTTTTTAATAATGGTGTGGAAACCTCTCTCTAGTAGATGCGTTTTAAAATCGTGAGGTTGACGATGATATGTGACGAGTTAAAGTTGACAATATCTGCTAGCGGTG